TTCTTCCTGAGAAAGTCAGGCTTGGTCCCTCCCCATCCCCCCCCATGTTGGCCTTGTTCTGATGAGCTTTTAGAGGTCAGAAAGCTTGAAAAACAGAGGTTTGTGTTGTCGCTTGCTGCTCTAACAGAACATCCTCAAATACTTAATAAGTTGCCTGAAGAAGAGAAGGAGAGAGAGGAGGTCTCTCAAGGGAGACCTTGGAGTCCCCTCCAGTGCCTAAAGTGGCTCCAAGAGAGCTGGAGAGGCACTTTGGACAAGGGTCGGGAGTGGCAGGACAAGGGGGAATGGCTTTAAAGTGAAGGAGGGTAGATTTAGATTAGATATTAGGAAGAAATTCTTTACTCTGAGGGTGGTGAGGGACTGGCACAGGTTGCCAGAGAAGCTGTGGCTGCCCCATCCCTGGAAGTGTTCAAGGGCAGCTTGGATGGGGCTTGGAGCAACCTGGGCTAGTAGAAGGTGTCCCTGCCCATGGCAGGGGGGTGGAATGAAATGAGCTTTATGATCCCTTCCAACCCAAACCAGTCTGTGATTCTATGATTCTACTGCAGCCAAATAGATGGTGCAGGGAGTAGGATGGAGGAGAAATATTCCTGCAAGCTCTTGAGTCTCCAAGGCTTGTGGAATAATTGCATTGCCATCGCTGAGCTTCAGGAGCCGGCAGCCTCCGCAGGAGATGCCGTAGCCCAGCTGTGCACAGGGGCTGCAGGAAATGAAACACAGAATAGCTGGATGGAGAGTTTTAGATCCTAATTGCCCAGGGATTTGGTGTGCTTCCTCTGCTAGGAACTGACAGTAATTAGGGGCTTGCCTCACCGTGGTGGATGTTTGCCACGGAGGAGAGAGCTGCACTCCTGAATTAACCCAATGCCGAATCAGTAGCTGCCCATGGGGGGCTGTGGGGAGGAGGGGGTGCTGCAGCTGGGGAACAGGTGCCCCTGGCAGAAGGGGCACAAAGTGCAGGAGAGCCTGAGCCAGCCTTCCTCCCTTGCCAGCACAAAGAGTTCATAGTGCCTGATCCGCCGGGAAACGGCCCCGAGAAACGCCCAAAACCTGGAGGCAGAGCGAGTGATCCGACTGCATCTGAAACACTCAGCAGAGAACTTCTAAAATCCACTGGCAAGTGGTGGGTGGCTCACCCCTACAATCTGGTTAAATTGGGGCATTGATCATGTTTGCAAGCAAGAATTGGGTCTGGGAGGGCTTGAGGGCTGGCTGTGATCTGTTGGTCCCCAAATTTTGGGAGCAGTTGCTGTAATCTGACATCTATGTACAGATTGTGTGAACAGAGCAGTGACATTGTTGTCCTTTCTCTCCCAAGCTTGGAGGTTTTTCCCTCGTCCTGAAGTGGAAGAGATAGTACTGGTTTATTTTTATACTATTATTGTTGCTTATACAATAATCTTACAGTCAAGCCTGGGCAGTGGAGATGGAAGTCCTCCAAATTAAAATCGGGATGTCCAAAAAATTTTGATCCGGGGCTTAATGCCTAACCTTGAGTTAATAATTCCTTTCCATTGGTAGCACTTTTCCTCTGAAGTACTTTAAAAACATCAGCAGAAAGGGCTTCCCCAGCCCCACAATAGAAGGAAGTGCTCTCGGCTCCATTTTGGAGCCTGACACAGACGCGCCTCGGGAGTCGGTGCCAGAGCTTGGGACAGAGGCCGGATAATGTTGCAACTCCCACATAAACCAGCCCAGTTCCTGTCAGAGGCCGCTGTTTTGGGTCCTGGTTCCCTTGCTGCTCCAACAGGGAAGGCTGGACGTGTGTGATGCTCCAGAGGGGCTCAGCTGGAGGTGATGGGGCTGATTCCTGCCTTCTCTGGTCAGGGCTGAGATCGGCTGTCCTCGGTTCTTGGTGTCTCCTGCTGCAGCTTCACTGAGGCTCAAAGAAAATATGGCTTTTTTGAGGTGGTGCCAGCATGTCCCCTGGGGGTGGTGGCAGGAGCATTGGGGTGTTTGCAGGCAGCTGGATGCCACCAACCCCTGTGGAAGCATTTCTGAGGGATGCTCGGGGAAGGGGGCAGCCTGGCTCGCTCAGCCCATGGCTTGGTGGAAAAAAAACCCTGCAGCAAATATTGAGCACAAGAACTGGGTCACTGTGAGTTTTGCCCTGTAGGAAATATGCTGGAAAGCCCAGCTCAGCAGCAGAACAGGAGATGAAAGTGAAGAAAGGCAGGAGCTCGGAGGGCTGGAGGATGGAGATGAGGGGGATGCTCAAAGACCCACATATACGAGCCTGTATGTGCTCAGAGTTATTAACTGAATATATAAAGTCTGAATCTGCAGGTCCTGACCCCATCAGATTCACCCAAATTGATTCCTAAACCAGAAAACTGGCTTAGAGTTTGCAAAAGCCAGCCTGCATTTACCCACTCCATGTTATTGACCAAGAGGGAAAGCCTGGAGACTGTGGCAGAGGAGCAGAGAGGGGTGATCTGTACGTGCTCCAGTGCTGCCTGTGTGGGTTTGTATTTATTTAGCCAAGTGCTGATTTCGGAGTGGTGGAAAGGCACAAAGTGCCGGGTTTCCCACAGCACCCAGTTCCTGGGCCCGCCAGGGTCGATGGGACATTTACTGCTGACATCAATGCAGAAAAATCAGCGTCTTGTGAAAAGTTTTTTGCTCAGTTTGCCAAATGTAAATTGATAGTATATTTTTTTAATGAGTCACCCAAGTGTGGATCACTTTTCCTAAATCCCTGAAGTCACGTGCATATAAATTAATTGCATTTTGCAACGATTTCCAGACCTTCAGGGGTGCAGGGGAGAAACCTGAGGGTGTGATCCTGCCTGTTCCCTTTCGGCTGTGTGCTTAGAGGCAAATTAGAAGCTCTGAAAAGTTATTTGTTTTGAATCTCATGATTTTCAAGAACCTTGCCCCTGACGGCTGAGTGTTTGGGGTTAGTTACGCTGAGAAAACATCCTGAACTTGGGCTCCTGACCCCGCTTTGAGTGTTTTGCTTTTCAGACCCAGAAGGTTCCCAGGAGAGGAGAAAGGAAACTGACTGGCTATTTTTAAACCCTTGCAGTTGCCTTCCTGCCTTATATTATTTATTATCCATTATCAGAAGTGTTTTTCCCCTGAAACCATCGTTAGTGGTCAACCAAGGGACCGGTGAAAATTGCCCATCAAACAGAGCTGCATCTTTCCGTAGAGGTCACACGAAGCTGGAGGGTTTTGCCAGAGTGAAAATGAGTGGTGCTGTTGTTTGTGATGTGCACTCGAGCAGTGCCCAGTGATTCCAGTGGTGGGCCATGATTACTCTGCCCTAGGGCTCAAACACCAAAGCAGAATCTCCCTCCCAAATGCCCAGAGAGGCAACACTGATGCCTGCTGGAGAACTGGGCACTGCCTCCAGTTTTGGCATGTCCTGAGCCAAGTGATGCACGCCACTGATGTGTTTTGTAGCACATCTGGCAGCATCCTGTGGTTCCTGCATGCCGTGTCAGTGGGTCTGGGGACACCTCTGCACAGAGCATCATCACAACCTTCTGCAGCAGAGAAAGCTCTGGTGACCTGGGCGGGGATCAGGGCTGGATCTCTGTGTTAAAACCTGTATCACCCCCCAAAGAGCATCCCAGAGGTGTTGGGCTGCCATGGGCACTGCAAGGCTCTGCTGTTGGGCTGGCTCCCCTTTCCCAGGCTGTCCGGGAAGTCCCCTTTGACCCTCTTTGGCTCCAGATAAGCAGGACAATAGCCCATGTTGTCCTGGCTCATCTTCCTGCCTGGTAAACTTTCCAGTTTGAAGCCTGTCACATCCCTGGCAGCTTTGTTAATCCTTTCCTGCCTGGGCAGGAGCTGTGGGTGCCCTGGGAAGTGCTGGACGTGTGAGCCTTGGCTCCATGTTCTCATTGGAAATAAAGCCACAGGGCTGGAAGGCCCTGGGAGGGTGATGTTATTTCAGCTGTGGAGGGAGCTGAGGCATAAAAGTCCGGGTTTTGGCGGTGTCAGCAGCGACTGCCCGGACCCTGTGATGCAGTTTCTCGGCAGCGTGTGAGGAGGGAAGGGGAAGAGCAGGGGAGGGCAGGAGCACGCTGTGCTCAGCGCAGGGGGTGACGAATGACAAACAGTTTTCCCCGTTTCTCTTTGCGTCTGAAAACAAAATTATGTTGCAGGGGTTCAGCATCATCTCGGAGGCTCGGGGGCTCTCTAAAGTGGGATCTGCAGCCCCGCTGTCCCCCAGGCCTGTTTTGCTTTCCCCGAGTCCCTGCTGGGCTGAGCTCAGGTGCCTTGGTGCTTGGGGGGCCTGGCACGGGGAAGGGGTCAGACCCTGCTCCTGGCACCGACTCGCTGCGGGGCCTCGGTCACATCCCCTCCTCTCCCGGGGGACACTGCCTGCCTGTCCCACCGCCCCCGCGGGGCTGTGACCGCCTCACCCCATAAAGCCCAGCTGTGGCTAGCGAAGGGCTGGGCAGCGCTCTGAGCTCATGGGCTGAGATAAAACTTGTCTGTTCGGATGAAAACACGTGCTCTTAAATATTCATGCGCTCGCATTTAGTACTTTTTTTCTTTGGGTGGTGGCGCGTGAACCCCAGGTGCTTTACAAAGATCCTCCTCCGGGGCCGCTGTCACCTGTGTGACTTCGCTCCCTCCCACCCCCCGTTAACACCCCGGTGTTTCCTCCGGCCAGCACCGCCCACGTATCCCCCCCCCGAGCATCAACCCCGCGCCCGCCGCCCCTTTTTGTGGCCTCGGGGGTTTTCACGCCTCCCGTTTCCCCGTTCCCCCTCCCCGCGGGGGCTGAGCCGAGCCGGGCCGGCCCCCGGGGCGGGCGGAGGCTGCGGGAGGAAATCCAGTGCCTGGTTTACAGCCGAGCCGGCCCCGCCGTGACATCAGCCCCGCTGGCTCGGCGCGGGGGCGGCTGCGGGCTCCCGGCGCCTGCCCCGCTGCTGCGGGAGCTCCCGCACGGCACCGCACTCGCACCGCCGCGGCTCTCCCCGCCCGCCGCCTCCGGACACCCCCCGGCTGCCCCGGGCACTCTCTCCGCTGCGGCTCCCCGGGCAGCCCGGGGTTCTGGCGGGGCCGGCGGCGGGGCGCGGGGCCGGGGATGCGGTGGAGCTGCCCATGGTGAGCCGCCGCCGCGCCCCGCAGCACCATGTCCCCGCCGGCCCCGAGAGGATGTTCGAGGGCTGCCGGCGGGCGCGGAGCCTCTGGGGCGGCGTCAGGCTGGAGGTGGCCGGCGAGAGCAGCCCCGTGGTGCTGCACAGCTTCACGCAGCTCGACCCCGACCTGCCCCCGCTGGAGGTGAGTGCGGGATGCGGGGGGAGATGGGGCGTCGCTGCTGCCGGGAGTTTGCAGGGGTGGGAGCGAAGCGGGCCCTGGTGCACTCCCCTCTTTAGTTTGGGGTTCTCTGCCTTGCTGGCAGCGCTGGCCCGGAGTTTGGTGAGGGAATTTGTTGTAGGCAGCCTGTTACACGTAGGATGTTTCATAGAATTCTGTTTTGTAGAATCACAGAGTGGTTTGGGTTGGAAGGGACCTTAAAGGCTCATCTCTTTTCAACCCCCTGCCATGGGCAGAGAAACCTTCCAACTAGACCAGGTTGCTCTGAGCCCCATCCAAGCTGGCCTTGGAAACTTCCAGGGATGGGGCAGCCACAGCTTCTCTGGAAATGTGGGAAATGGCCCCACCACCCTCACAGAGAAGAATTTCTTCCCAATATCTAATCTAAATCTACCCTCCTTCATCTTAAAGCTATTTTCCCTGTCCTATGTTCCCATGTCCTTTCTAAAGTCCCTCTCCAGACTTCTTGTAGGCCCCTTTAGCTACTTTGGGGTGTTTCATTTTACTGAATAAAGGGATGCTCCTGCTTAGCTTTTTTTGTGGTGAGTCCCTGTGCCCTAGACTGGCAGGCAGCTGCCGGGCTCTGCTGGGAGAAACCAGACACTCTCCCTCCAGCCACCCAGGGAAAGGGGCAGATGGTTAAAACTGGGGGCTTTTAATATTTTATTTGAGACTTTGGCGGCAGGAGGCTGCTCAGATCTGAGCTGCTTGTAAAAGCCTTCAGGCTTGTCCAAACCACAAAAGTGTCCTCTGGGAAGGTTACGGGCACTGGGAGGACTTTCCTGGAGGATGTAGAATATTTGTGCTTGTTTGGATTTGACCTCGGGTTGTTCAAAGTCAGAATGGTCCCTGTGAGGCCCAGGTGGTTTATTGATGGCAGTTGTATGTGAAGGCACCCAAAATAATCTGAGTCAGAGCTGGGCCTTTTATCTTAGTAATGGATGATCGTCATCGGTGTGATGGGAGTGTCACTGATGGGGAGCAAACGGTGTGTCAGGAGAGGCTCAGCTGGAGGAAGGTTTTGGCTTCCAGAAGTCCCAGCCCTGCGTGCTGGTGGTGCAGGGGTTAATATCAGCAAGGGTCAGCAAGTCTGGCTTTGCTGGGATTTAGAGCCAGCTGCAGATGTGCTGCTCTGGATGCTTCCCACTGGAATGGGGGTGGTGGAGGGGGGGGGGAATCACCACTAAAGCCTCTTTAGTTACTGTGCAGATATCTGCCAAGGGCAGCCAGTGTTTTGAGGGGCAATGGCTTCTTCTCCCGGTGCCAAACAATCTACCCTATAACCTGTGATGGGAAGTGTTGGTCAGCACAATCTACCCCATAACCTGTGATGGGAAGTCTTGGTCAGCCACGGACAGGAAGGGATGACCTCAGGCTCCGGCTGTATCGGTTCACCTCTGGCCTGGTGGCAGCGGCTCATCAGCTCTGCCGAGGGTTCAGGAAAGCTCCATCCAGCTTATTTTTCCCCCCCTTCTCCCCTCCCTGCTGCTCTCTCCTGGGGGTGGGCGTACTGACATCGTTGTGAGAACATCATCTGGTTCGTGTTATGCCTGGCAGGAAGTCCAGCCTCGCCGGCCTGCGGCGCTCCGGGAGGCTGAGGGGCCACGCTTTTGGCAGGGAGAGCAAGAGGAGGGGGGAGGAGAAGAGGGGGTGATGCAGCGTGTGCTGCTCCTCTCATCCCAGGGGAGAGCCTGCCTGGCACATGCAAGCCCCCACACACCCCAGCAAGCCCCTGTCCATCCCGGCTGGAGGAGGCTCTGGAGGTCAGGAGAGGGTTTGGCATCATCTTGGGGACTGTGAAGGAAAAGTGACCAGGGCTGAGGGAGGCTTTGCTTGGCCCCCACTGGCACTGAGCAAACCCCTGCTCACCCGAGCATGGCACAGAGACAGGACTGCCAGCCAGACCTGCTCTAGAGTTGTCTTTGCCCAGATTTCTGTTCTGGGCTGTACATGGTCTGTGCTGTGTAATGGTCAGATCACAGTCCCAGCATCTGATGGCTCAGGCTTTCCTCCCAGCCCTGAACAGCTTGCAGACAAATTCCTCCTTTCTCTGTACCATCCATTTGCAAGTGATGGCAAGAAAAGGGGCATCCCAGAGGGGTGTATGGTGACCCATGGCCGCCCAAGCAGCTTTGAGATGCTTAGAGAGCTGATAAACCTCCAGCGTGTTCAGTTCACAACTGGGGAAAGGATAAAAGTGTCGGTGTTGTGACAACTGTGGTGGCAGGAGCCTGGCATGGTTGTGATCCTCGGGTTGAGTTACTCTGCAGGATGCATGCTGAGAGGAGAAGGCAGATTATTTGAACAGGAAAACCTCCAGAGACCATCAGTGTTTTTGCCAAGCCCTGCTGATGTCCCCGGGTCCCCAGTGGGAGCCTGGTGCTGCCACCTCTGCCAGAGGGATCTGTGCTCCCCGGGCTCACCGTGTTCCCAGCGCTGGGACAGAGCTGGTTTCGGCAGAGCTGTGCCAACTCATGGGCGGACAGTCTGGTCCCACAGGGAATAGAGGATCCCTGGAAAGCTGCTGGGCAGGTTGCAGGGAATGTGGATCTCGTTCTCTGCTCCTCGCTGAGGCCCTGTGGATGTCAGCAGGGAAGACTTTGCCTGTATCCCCCAGCAACGGTATCGATCACCAGGCATCACTTGGAGGCCTCTGGGCCACCTGAGCCGAGTGTTCTTGCCATGATTTTAACCACAGGGGATGGAAAATTTAAACTGTCTCAACTGCTCTGATTGACAGAGCAGCTTTGCAGACCTTTTGTTTTGACCTTTCCAGTTCCAGTCCGTCCCAAATCAGCAGTGAGTGTCAATCCTTCCTGTCCAGCAGGAGCCACAAAGGCCCTTCTCCTGGTCCTGCTGGCCAAGCGTGCCCTAAACACCACTGCAGATGACACAGACTGAAACTTTCATGCAGCTGATGTTGCTGAGCCTCTAGACAAGGCTGGGCTGACGCTTATAAAAAAAGCTCCTGTCCTTGCTATTCTGGCTCTGTTTGTTTTCTGAACAATTAGATTTTCAGCTGCTAAATGCATCCTTGAAAACTTGAATGGCTCAGCCCAGATGCCTTGGAGGTCAGTGCTTGTTCTTTACAGCTGAGAGGGAGGGGCGAAGATATCTCTTAAAAGCCATTTTCTTTTAGCTTCCTATGGTGCCTTTGGAATAAGATCCTTTTCTCCCAGCCTGTTCTCCTCCCCCAGGCACAACCTGATATATCCCTTGCAATTTGCCTGATGAACATCATCTGTTGGTATTTCTTGGACGGGGACCTACCTTCTGGCTCACTTCCAGGGAGGTTTGGAGCCGGAGGTGAGGCCGGGAGCAGGCTGAGATGCTGGTTGTTGGTGGCTGATGCACAGTGGGAATAACAGAGGTGGGAGGGATTTTTTTATTATTATTTGATATGGTTGGAGAGAGGCTTCTAAATGTGTTTGTGTAAGAATTGTGTTACTCAGAGGCTGCCATGCCATGTTTCCATAGGGCTGGGAATCCCCATGCTGGGATCTCGCTGAGGTTTTAGTGGATTTAGTCCCAGACTGGCAGCCCTGGAAACTGAAATCTTTGTTTATTCACAGGCTGAATGGGACACCTCCCACACCCTCCCCGGGTCACTCCTGTGCATCAGAATTGCTCCCAGGGCTCCCTGCAGTGGGGGAGGCAGGAGGTCCTGTGCTGCAGCTCAGGGTGCTTCAAGCCCCCTCAGATCACACAATTGCTCCACTCCAGCCCTCTGTTCCATAGCTGTTAGGGTGGGATCAGCAGGCAGGAGCAACTAAATGCAGTCTTGGAGTATTTCCCTGCTTCCCTGTGCCTAGCTTTGGGGTGTGATGAGCAAAAGGAGCATCAGGCTGGCCATGCCTGCAAGGATGGGTCTTGCTCAGCCAGAACCCACCACTGTTTGGGAGCTGGGCTGGCTGTGACCACCCCACAATTAGAGCCAGAGCATGACCTGCTTTTAGGGCCACCGTGGTTGGTCTGGCTGTAGGAAGGGCTTCACCACCAGCAGCTCCTCCATCACCCTTCCGAGCTCTCTAATTGCCATCCACTGTGTCCCCCGAGGGATGTGTAACTGAAGGAACAGAGAGCTTATTTAGGTCACTCTAGACCACATTTAAAGGCTGGGTATCCCCTGCTCACACTTTCTCTAAGGCCGTTATCTCCAGAGCTGTCTAATGACCGGCTTTCAAGCGGGCATGTTCTTTTTATTTAAATATATCCTTGCAGCAGGGCTGTTTCAGTTCTCAAATATTTCTTCATCTCCCACGGACTCAGCAAGAGGGGGGAAAAAAATGTGGTTGCTAAGGAGCAGGATTTGGATACAAAGCTGGCTGAGCTGCTGGCGGGGGGCCCGGGGGGCTCCGGCACAGCTCGTGGCCGGTCGGGGTTTGTGCATTGCTTTGGTGGGACGGCACCTGTGGGGTCTTGGTGAGGGGGGTTTTGGGGTTTGAAACATTTCTCGGGCCTGGGGGAGAAAGAGTTTGAGTTGTAGGACTCGTACCTTCCCCAGATCAATGCGTTCTTTCCGTGCTGTCAGTGTGCATAGTGCTGGGTTAGATCCCAGGGCAGCATCCCTGGCTGTTCCCAAATGTGGGAAGCAAATGTTCCCTTTGCTCTGGGGGTCTGTGGGACCTTGGTTTTGCAGAGAGAAGCACCTGTAGGCTGAAAGGTGGGGCTGGCACCAGGGCTCTTAGGAGGGGGGGACATGTTAAGCATCACTCTGAAACTGTATGGCAGCCTCTGGCTGGAGCATGTGCCTGCCTGGGAAACCCAGCAGCAAGGGAAGGACTTTGTTTGGATACCTCAGTTGTCTCATTCCCCATGTTTGGATACTTGAGTTGTCAGTTTGTCTCATTTCCCATGTGGGGACTCACCTGCCTGTCGCAGCAGCCCCAGCCCTCCTGGCTCAATAAAGATGCATTTGGACTTTGCTCCTGAGTCGTTAGGGAAAGGGAGCTCTGGCATGGAGC